AAAATTCTTTTTAATTCTTTTCTTTTTATGATAAAACTTAATTTTATCAATTTTAATTAAAAACTTTATAATAATTTTTTTTTAATTTTTGTCTACAAATTTTATGTTCTTCTCCTTTAATTTATTAAATCGTTAATTTTTATTAGTATCGATGTAAAATGAATCTATGTCTTACGTATAGTAATTACAAACCGGTTCGCTTATTTTTCTGATATTATATTTTATTCTATAATCTCTTGTTCAGTGTTTTAATGTTTTAATTTTTGCTGGATAGAGTACAATTTAGATGCAGACTTGAGATGGGTTGTGGGAAAAGCTATTTCAAATAGTAGCTTTGATAGTTTCACTACTATATTAGAGCTGCTAGATGATCAACACGTGGATATGTTATGTCGATCATTTCTCTAGCCCCTATATTAGTTGAGAGGTGCAGTACTCTATACAGATCATTGATGCACTACTATGTCCACTGCTTAGACCAATCGACGGTGATGCCTTCCACTTCGATCTCGGGGACAAGGCCGCTACTTTCTTTGTGTTTGAGTTTACCCTGATGACTGACTGAAGATTATGAATGATGAAGCAGCTCGTGACAGTACTCAAAAAGCAATGACTGCATGACATGTATTTTCACAGATAGGGGATGGTTCTTCTACCGCAGTTGATTAGCACAATCAGTAAGTGCGACCAAATGTTAGACGGATTGAAGCTGTTACTAGTCCATATCCTTGAAAACGTAGTGTGATGTTATTACAATAAGACTGTGATCGACATTTTTCATTTGAAAATTGTCAACGATATCGATGCCTTCAACAACTATCCATGAGGTAGGAGATGTTTTCATGACAACTTTCAAGGGGTCTATACGTAATTACGATACTTATGGATTGCCCCTCGCAGTGCAGGTAAATATTTAACATATTCAATGTTAAAATATTTTTTATAGTAAATTTATATATAATAATTATATGTATTACAGATCTAAGCATATGAGACTGTCCCCATCTTGGTTACTCGGTTTGCAAGGCAATGGGAGATACGCTGTCCTCGGATGCATTATTGATGAGCATTTCGAGCAGACGGATGTCCATCTGGCAAACAATTGTCAGCTATCTTCAACGACCTTCAGGTGAGTGATATACATTTGCAATTTATACTATGCATAATTTCAAAATCTTATCACATGATTATTAACTAATTGAAATGTCAATATGTCAGTTTGAAGTCATAACTGAGTTGACGTCGTCCATGGACGAGTATCGAGGTTTTATGCGTGAATTAGTCGTTCCACACACTCAAGATGACTAGATAGCCAATTCCATCTTGGACCGAGATTGGGTATGTGAATTATATATAAGTTATTGATTATCGTGTTATATGAGTTAGCCTATTTTAATTAAGTTAATAATTTTTAATATTTTTATATGTATAGGAGCGTGGTCCAATTGATCAATGATCACCTCCATCGATGAGATCCCCTTCTCCTAGTGGATCTCCTCATTAGTCAGAATCATTATTTCAATGATCTGTATATTCGCCTGGCTGGATTTATAGTGGAGAAGGTGGGTGCGCTATGAAAGGATGTAGGTGCACTACGATGAGAGTTGAGAGGCAAGGCAAACGATTTATCTGTTGATGTTGGAGTGCTATGTCTCCACTTTATAGATTTTCAAAATGAGGTCATAGCTCCGAGGCAGTGTTCTAGATAGCGTGCCAATGCGCGAGTGAGGCTAAGATGCCAATGCGTGCCTAGGTGCGGTTATGCGCGCCTAGGTTTTTTTCTTTTTACAATTCTTTTAAGTTAAAACTTATAATTATTAAATAATTTTATTGATTAAAAATATAAAATAATATTAAAATAAGAAAATGCTTTTTAACGTTTTTTTACGCATTTGCCTCGCCTAATCTTGCATTGCCCTTAGCTTGACATTAATACATCGTCATGCATTACACCTTTAAAAACACTGTTTCGAGGTGATATAGCAAGCAAGCAATGGGGTGACAGACGAGATGACGGAGAGGGTGATGGGAGTGTGACGAAAAGGGGAGTTACCCACAGTTGTGGACATATAATGTTACATTAAAATCATTTTTATTGTCAATAGAACGTGAGGAATGGACGCAATAGGGACGGGAGTTGTGGCGGAGGAGGAGAGGATGAAAGAGATGGCCTTGATAAGGACAGAAAAGGTGACAGAGGAGGGGGTCGTCCCGATGGCGAAGGAGGTGGCAGTTCGTGTGGTAGAGAAAACGGTAGTCCTTAGGGCAGAGGAAGAGAGGACGCTAGCTATGACTGAGGGTAAGAAGCATGTTGTTGACATTCTGCAACAAGTTATCGGTAAGAGGTCGAGATTGTCGTCACAGTACATTCTTTCTTCCTTTACGGCTGAGGCAAAGAGGAGGACGTTCGTCGACGAGACTTACCCAATCTATTCTGAGAGATGGACCGTACCAAGCGAAAAGGTGTTCGAGACGGAGTGGAAAAAAATTATGTCCGAGTACGTATTGTATGATTTTAGTAAAGTGCACTACGCTAACTCATTATGATTCTTTTAACGTTGTTTCTGTTTTTTCAGAGCTAGCCACACGATAGCTCAAAGGACAATCCTAGAAGCTCACAAGTGGTTCTATGACATCACCATTTTCGGAAGCTTGGCTCGTGGACGATGTAAGTAATGTAGCCATATTGTTATTTATTAAATGAAATAACTCCCTTTTTATTAGTGTTTCCTAATGTAATACATCGACCAGGCCATGGACTTATTGCGCGATCGGGCTCAAAGATATCCAAAATCATTTGACATTCTCAAGCGAGTCATATTGAGCATTGAGTTCATACGTGCCATTATCATTCAGTAGCAACCGCTTCAACTTATGAGTAATGAATACATGGTGCCCGAATATATGTTCGATAGGGTCATAGGGATGTAGCCGTGTATCAGGAAAAAATTATGGGAGGATTGTACGCATATGTACGTTCCAGTGATCGTGAATTATCACTACTTTGCCATAGAGATCTTCTTCGTTGATTCTACTATATATGTGTACTATTCCGTTCATTCATGTCTGACACAGGGTCGGCTCGAGCTTAACTTGGAATCGATGATTGTGATTGTTCCTCTGATTGCTAGACGAGTGGGGTAATTGTGCACGACAGAATAGCTATCGTGCGGGTTACAATGAATGCGAGACAATTGATATCGTAGGTGTTTATAATTTTTTTAACTTGAAAACTTAATTTTTAGTTATACGGTACTAAATTAACACATGCTTATTCAATTGCATGGGTAATTGCGGCATGTTTGAAATAAAGTAGATTGAATTTTTTAGTATAGCACATAAGGTTGATTGGTTTAATCAATCATGGACACAAATTTGGAGGAATAAGTTAGTGTGTGATTTGTATGAATCCAATTGTGATCCGTAAATATTGTATATTTAATTGTTTATTTAATTATGAAATAATTGTAAATATTATAAAACTAATGTAAACATAGTACATCCAATTGTTTATTTAATAATGAAATAATTGTACATATTGCAAAACTTATGTAAACATTTTATGAAATAATTTTATTATTATAAAATAAATGAAAATATTGTTCATTTAATAGCGATATCATTACACGTCGATTTAATTGTCATTTAGGAGAATTTGACTTGTACAAAATTAAAAAGTATGTCATGTTGCTCTGCACTTGCTGTATTTATGCGATTGAGAAAACTCTCTGGTAGATGATATTTTAGACGTATGTGGACATTCAAGACCATGTTGTTCAACTTCTGGTGGTAACAAGCTATGAAGTGCGAAAATATGGTCGAACTTTCAACTTGACCTCATTCGATAGAGAAAATGTAGTCTCAGTATATGCTGCTCTCCAATAATCAGTCATATAATAAGGAGAGCATAATATTCTTGCTGCAAAACCTTTATACATAGCCACCATGCCTACATGCTCACATAGAAAACTATCCAATCGAAATCGACTACAAGTGCATGTGCTATCAGTCAAATCCACTATGTATGTCATATTATGTGCATATTTCACGAAGAAGCGAAACTCATCCAGTAGTTCGACATTCAACTTTCTTGCAACCTTTGCATCCTTGAGTTTATCCTCTTGAGTCAGGAGACTAAGGCCTGGAAAAACTATCGAAAAAGGTCCTTATTTTCATATGTGTAAGTTGAGTTCCTCAAATTCTGTAAGCTTGCTTGGTCTACCTGCTTTGTTTTGATCTCATTGTATGGGAAAGAAAGGCAAAAATAAAAAAAGAAATAGATTATTCTTTGAGAGATCTTTGTCAACCAGATAGCGGGCAAGGATAGAGGTTATAGTAGATTAGATGCTAGCACGCTCGTGCAACTCTGTAAACCGTCCGTGGGTCCTGATACTTGTAGATTATTTGTCAATCAATAAACTATACTCGAGCTTGCCTGTGATCATTTTGATGAATTTTTACTTCACAAGTATGTTCTTGTGTATACTTACGAACTATAAATAACTCGTTTGTATTTATCTTAGTTGCTAGTAAATGCTAAGAGCAACTGTCGTCAATATAGACAATTGTCAACGACTTATTTAATTTCTTTACCTTAAACTCAAAATTATACTTTAATGTCATCCGGTGCACAGCTTTCTGTAATTATTTCTTTGTTTCAAACAGTTGTTTGACATGCAAATCCTCATCATCGAAAACCACAAGCGAAGAATTAAAGAATGGTCCACCCGACACAGCCCTTGAGCTCCTACCCCACGCATGTTTTTGACGGGATAAAGCGGTCTAATTCTCATTTGTAAATTCATTTCATTGTTATCGTGAACTATCGACAAAATTTTGTGCGTAACAGTGAGATCATGATGATGAACAACTGTCTTGAGAACAACCACATCATCCTCACGAGCTATCTCCATTGTGTCAAAAAATATTTGGCTTTATCATTCTCTGCATTCGAATTTTTATGTTCACTTTTGACGACATCCTTCCTCACTAAAGTCACACAAAGAGAAGTCGTGTGCATTTTATTCAATTCAAATAGATATTTCACTTCATCATCAGAAGTAATCTTCATATGTGAAATTGGAATGAATGAATGCTCGTTGAATTAAAATTTCAGTTGCATATCCCATTGAGAGGGATTGACATTTAGCTTGTTTTGTAAATTATGGTATATTCTTGGGTATGGTGTACTCTCTATTATGGAAATTGGAATACAACGCGTATATCACTCGTCAATTTCCATACTCATCGATAATTTTATTCAATTCGAAATTATCAAAGTAATAAGCCAAGATTATCTATATGACAAAACTAAAATTTTTAAGAAAAAATAGTAAAAAATTTAGCTCAACCATTGGGCAAAAGAAATTTATTTAAAAAAAAAAAAGATTTACAATCGGTACACAGCCGACTGTTAGGCTGTTATGTTGTTTAACTGCCAATCGTAACAATCGACTGCTAATGTTAGTCTGAAAGGATTCATCCGTGTAAATGAATTTTTTTTTTGGTTCATACATAAAAAAATATAGATCTATGAAAAAATTTATCTGCATATTAATCTATATCGAAATAAGATTTATCGATGTACACTAATTTAATGAAAGCGAAATTATACTTACCAATTT